GAGGGCAGCCCCAGGGGACGAAGACATCCTCTTTCAGAGCAGAAGTGAAATTCTACCCCCGTTCTCAAGCTGCCTCTGACTGGCCCACCTCACCTGTTGTCTCAGTGTACCTGATGGCTAGGAGTCACCACCATTCAGCGGGGATCACCAGGCCAGATGCGGACAGGGCCGGGAAGTGAAGCACGGAGGGGGAAGGACGAGTGTTTGCACACTCAATACAAGTGCGGCACCTGTGCTCCCTCTCAGGTCCTGTCTTGTGCCAAGGGGCAGCTGCTGCTCAGCTCCAGCCAGCTGTCCACCAGAGGTGAGTACACACCTGGACCTGCCAGAGTTATCAGTTTTATTTTATTTTTTAATATTTTTTTCAGTTGTAGGTGGACACAATACCTTTATTTTATTTTTATGTGGTGCTGGGGATCAAATCCAGCACCTCACACTTGTGAGGTGAGTGCTGTACTACTGAGCCACAACCCCAGCCCAGTTCTCCAGTTTTTGTTTTGTTTTGTTTTAAGAACTAGAAATCTAGATTAAAAGAAGAAGAAAACATAAAGTCTGACTTGTAAACACTGGCAAGGAATTTAAAAATTAAAAAAAACAAAAACAAAAAACTGCTGGCTACTTCACACCCACTCTGATGTGACTTCCAAAAAACGAAAAAGACCCATAAAAGACAGCAAGGGTTGGCAGGGACATGGATCAATTGGAAACTTCTGCACTACTGATGGGAATACAAAGTGGTACCCGCACTGTGGAAAACTGTACACCAGTTGCTCAAAGAACTAAAAATGAAATTAACATATGATCTAGCAATTTCAATTCTGGGTATATGTATCCCAAGAATTGAAAACTGGGTCTTGAAAAGATATCTGTACACCCATGTTCATAGCAGCATGAGTTACAAGAGCTAAAAAAAGTGGCACGATTTGAGTCCATTGACAATGAACAGATAAGCAAGACGCTGGCACACACAGTCGAGTTACAGAGTTAAACAGGAGAAAGCTCTGACACACGGTGCCTTGTGGAGGGGCTTGAGGACGCTTTGCTAACTGAAATGTCAGTCACCCAAAGGTGAACACCCTGTGATTCCTCGTGGACAAGGAGCTCAGAGCAGTCGGAATCACAGGGCCATAGGCTGTAGCTTGAGGGCTGCCAGAGGCTGAGCAAGCAGGAACGAGAGTCAGCGTCTGAGGAGGGCAGAGCGTCAGTTCTGCAAGATGAAACGCCTCTGGAGATGGAGGGTAGGGACGGATGGTACAATGACACGCACGTACCTTGCGCCACTGAACTGGACACTTTAAACTGGTTAAAGAGTGCATTTTACGTTACACATGTTCTGCCACACTTTTAAAAACTGGCAAACAGTGGCAACAACAGGGCTGGCTAGAATTGTTAAAGATGCACTTTAGCACTGGGTTCAATCCACAGGCGGCAGATGGCAGCCTCTGGTCGAACCCTTGTTTTCTAATTGTGTTGTGGGTTCACACCTTATTTACCCAAATAGAAGGTAAAATTCCATGGAGTAGGAGCTGCGTCTTAAACTCCTTTGTCATCTTCCAGATCTGGAGCTCAGAGCTCTGCAGAGGGCAGAGCTGGTTAGTTATTTCTAAATAAAGATAGTATATATCTATTATCACAGCACCCTGGATCA